CTCTTCTCCTTTCGTCTTCATTTGTCTCGAGGGCATTTAAACTTCCCAGTATATTAATTTTGTCATGATTATTTATGACTTGTTTCCCCACAAGAGAATGTAAATTCCAGGAGGGCAGATTTTGTTTAATTGGCTGAGCTGTCTCTTTTTTTTTTCTTTTCTTTTTTAGACAGGGTCTTGTTAATAACGTTGCCCAGGCTGGTCTTGAATTCATGATCCTCCTGCCTCAGCTTCCCAAGTAGTTGATACTATGGACATACACCACCCTGCCCAGCAGAGGGCAGGGTTTTGGTGTGTTTTGTTTGGGGCATTCCTGGTATATAGTTGGTGCTCAATAAATATTTGTTGAATGAATTCAAGCTTTCTAATTAAATATATTTCTGTTTTGTGTCTCTGGTGGAGAGAACAATGTCAGAACATTAACTACACAATCTTTTCGGTTGTATGCCTTATCTTCAGCAGGAGAGCACCCCATTCTCCATCAGCAAAAATTATTAGAGGCCTTTTGCTTCTTATGCCTTCCATGATATATATTGAGTCACTTCTGTGTGTCCAGCTCTGTACCAAATCCTGGGAAAACCAGCTGCCAAATATGATGTAAAATAGAAAATGTAAGGCATAATTAGAAAGAGAAAATATCTATACCAAAAATCTGTAACTCTAGTAACTCTAGTTTTGCATTCATTTAGTTTTTTTTGTGTGTGTGTGTGCCAGGGATTGAACCCAGGGGTACTTAACCATGAGCCACATCCCCAGCCCTTTTTATTTTTTATTTTGAGACAGGGTCTTGCTAAGTTATTTAGAGCCTCACTAAGTTGCTGAGGCTGGCCTTGACTTGAGAGTCTCCTGCTTCAGCCTCCAGAGCTGCTGTGATTATAGCCACGCATCACCACATCTGGCTGGGTCTAGGTTTTTTATGTTTTTAGTTGTAGATATACACAATACCTTTACTTTATTTATTTATTTTTATGTGGTGCTGAGGATCGAACCATAGGCTAAGTAAAAATATCTATTTTTCCCAACTACTATCATTTATGAAACTGATTATGTTGGGTAAACTAGAATTTCCTTTTACTATTTTTTAGACGTTGATGGGCCTTTATTTTGTTCATTTATATATGTGTGGTGCTGAGAATTGAACCCAGTGCCTCACACATGGTAGGCAAGCACTCTACCACTGAGCCACAACCCCAGCTCCCAAGGAATAAAGGCTTACTCTTCATGTGTGTGGCGGGGAGCTGGGGATTGAACCCAGGGTCTTGTGCATGCAAGGCAGGCACTCTATTAACTAAGCTATATGTCCAACCCCCAAGAATTTTTTTGAACTAAGCAAATCATTAATTAAATTTTTAGTGACACTACTTTATGATGTCTGAAGTGCTTTTCTGGCACAATTTTAATAAATGCTTTTGTACCAAGATAAAGTTCTTTTCTTTCATTTTATTTATTTACTTTTTAAAACAGGCCGCATTTTTTTATTTGTAAGGACTAATTTGTTTGACTTTATTTCTCTTATTTTCCTCTTTTTATTTTTTCCCTTTTTTAGAATGAAAAGGGTTGAGGAATTCCCCCCCCCCGCCCCCGTACAGTATATGACTGAGCTCTCAGGCCCCTTGCATATCCCATGTCAGATAACAACTTTCAAGTGGATTAATATTTTGTCTGGTCAGTGCCAAGGTGCAAGTGTTTGTCTTCATTTACTCCCAAAGGGAAATAAAGCATGTTGCACCTTCCTACTTAGGTAAAGATTAACTGTGAGGACCAGATTTTGTCAGAAGGGGAAGATTCATTTTATCTTGGGTTTGAGACTGGGGAGGGTGGCATGCATTCAAAACCAACGGGGAAGAACAATCCCCCTTCTGGTCCCTGAGACTGATGATAAAGATGATCACCTTGAAGATGTCAATCTCCAAAGCAGTTTCATGTTGGGGATCAGGGGCTGCAGGAAGCAGGGGTGTCATACTAAGTGAAAGAAATCAAAAGGTGTGGCCCAGGCGTACCGTCCCACACAAGGATTTTCTGACCCAAAAAACTGAAAATCAGGTTTGTTTCTGATCAGTGCCAGTTCCAATTTTGGTCACTGGAAATCACTGCCTCCCCTGGGGTGGCAAAGTGGAGTGACTGGATTGGAGAGGTCTGAAGCTATATGGAGGAGGCCAGGCCATGATTGGGCAGATCTTCAGCAGGAGAGCACCCCATTTTTCCATCAGCCATAGGTCAGATGGAACAGAAAGTTAGTTTGAAGGGAAAGAACATCTCAGTCCACCTTGAGTTGAAGCCCAAGGTAGGGTACCCCTGCCCCTACATTTGATTCACATTGTCATATTAACTCTTAAACATAAGGAGGGAAAGAGCAAGTGGATGCTTCTCAGACAGATAGTCCTAAGTCACCAAGAAGGTGATAGTTAAATGTTTTCCAAGCCCAGACACTGAGTTCTGATTATGTCTTAGGAAAAGCTAATCCCTCAACTTCCTCTAGAGTGCCAGGAATGACCACAAAAAGAGAAGGCTGGCCCTTTCTTATAGTCGCCAAGGAATATCAGGTACCTGGCACAGGGATGTGGGGTGGGCAGCTGGCTAGTCACTGGGTACACCTGCTCTGCCTCCCAATCTCCAGCCATGCAGTGACAGCCTATTCTTTCATTTTATAGAATTAAAATGTTTTTCCTTTTTTTCCAAGCCTCTTAAGATAATTTCTACAGCTAACATTTTGCAGATGGAAATATTAATGCTCCAAAGGTTTACTGGCTTGCTTAAGGTAGTACCAAAGCTCAGGCCAGGTTTAGTTTTATTATTTTTTAAACCATTCTTAAATTAACCAAGGCTTCCTAATTACATCCTGCTGCCATTTACAATGACAACATTAGGAAGGACACTTCACAGTGGAGCTACACTTAACTTTAACAGTTTCTTTATGTTTCCCTCAATGTCCAGCACAGGATCTGGTTCATGGTTGGAACCAAAGAAGGGAGACATGTAACAACCCCAGACTCAGTGACCTAGATCCTATATGACTAGAACCTCCGACAACCTCTGCTTGTTTGTTCACTCTGCTCAAGCCTCACTGGCCTCCTGATTCTCAAACATACCAAGCACGGGCCTGGAAAGCTCCACCTCACCATATCCCTGACTTCCTTCCCACAGTGCTATAAGTCAGTGTCATTTTGCCCATGAGGCTTCTTCAGACCATACTATGAAACGGCACCCCCACATTCTCTAAACTCCTCACTCTGTCTCTGTAACACTTTTCTCCGTCTGACATATTTGGACTTGTCTATTTGTGCATGGATCATGTTTCTCCATAAGAATGTAAGCTCCACTAGGAGATTAACTTATAGGAACTTTCTTTTTATCTCCAGTTTTATTGTCAAATCTTACACATGACATGAAGTAGGTGCTCTATCAATATTTGTGGAATGAATGAATGAATGTTAAAGGAACTCACCTTCCTGATATTTCAATTCTTCATTTTAAAAGCTAAGAATGCTTTTAATATTGTAAAATGTCATAAAGTTAAACTGCAAGACACTTCAAAATGCAAGGGATTTTATAATAAAATCGGATGCACATAATTTTTCACATATATGTGGGTTTAGTTTTATACTTGTCTAATTAATCCTCCCCTCCCCCTTTTTATGCCACACTGGGTCTCACACAACACATGCTAGGCAAAGACTCTAGCACTGTGCTACATCCCTAGCCCTTATTCAATTTTTTTTTTTTTTTTTTTTTACTTTGAGACAGTGTCTTTTTGAGTTACCCAGATTGGCCTCAAACTTCCTGCCTCAGGCTTTCCAGCAGCTGGGATTACAGGTGTACCCCTACACCTAACTTCACATTTCTTTTATTTAAAAACTTCAAAAAGAAAAAAATGTGAAATTTCTTTGGCTAGTTTGCAAACACAAAATGAAGCACCAATGTGAATCATATATTAGGTGGCTAAAATGTTATGCCAAAGAATACATTCATGCTTTGACAAAACAATTAGGGGGGAAAATCGTAAATTGCTTTTTGTGTAGACACAAAACCTAAGCTACTTACCTTTCTACTTGTTATTTATGGTTTCGTTTCTTGTTAACATATTTGGTTCTATAAGTAATTTTAAATGTCTCCAAGTCAATAAATCAAAATATTTGTTATAGATATGATTAAAAAGCAAGCTTTAATATTATTTAGTACTATTTTTACTAAAAATTGTAACTACATTACGTAACATAGAATTTATTAATATTTCAAATCAAGTCATGCATAAAAAGTTATTTGCTGTAGGTGTCTTCATGATGTGATTGTCAATAGAATTAAACACTTCAAGTTGTGTCTGTCACCCACCCACCTTTCTGGATTCCTTCTTTTCGAATGCCAATTTGGACAGCACGGAGAAATCTGGGAGTGTAATCATACATCTGATAAATTCTATATTAGGGATAAAGAGAGTAACCGAGGCACAGCAGAGAAACAGCTCTCCGGAGGCAGAAGGGTCAGCTATCCAGGGAACACGTCTGAACTTTGAAAAATAATTCCAGACTGAGGAAGAGCATTAACAAAGACAGAGCTGCAAATGTGAATTCTTTTAACTTCAAATGGTCAAGGAGACCTGAAGAGAGGGGGATGGGCGAGGGTGACAGAGGATGAGGCAGGGGGAAGACCAGATCCACGCCTGGGCTTGCCTCCTAGGGCACAGGTAAGAGCGATTGGTGGGGGTTGATCTGGGAAGATCCTTGTGGAGACAATCCTGAGAACCGCCAGGAGGCATATGGGTGGCGACAAGAGGCGGGGAGGCCCGTTATCGGGCAGTAGGAAAAGTGAGATACTGAGTAGCAGAGAGTACAAGTCGGGGTCCGCGACTCGGGTAGTGTCTGGGGTGAGACCGGCAGAACCGCCCGGCTTCGCGCTCCGGGGCGGCGGGCGGGGAGCACGGCGCTCGGTTGCCTGGGCGACAGCGTCCGGGGGCGGAGTCCGGGTGCTGGCGTGGCCCCGCCCCACGGTCGCGGAGCACTTTCTCCCAGGAGTCCTTGGACAACTAGTCGAGCTTCCCAACCGTCCCTACCCGGCTCGTGCCCAGAGGGCGGCAGCCAGAGCACGAGCGCCCAGAGAACCGGCGCGAGGTGGGCGGGGCAGCGTCCGGCGCCGTCGCCGACGAGGACGAGCCACTGCCGCGGGCTTCGGGGCGGAGAGTGGGGAGCCCGCAAGTCCCCTGCCGCCGGGTCGCGCTGGTGCGACCGCCGTGCCCGCCGGCGCCCAGCGGAGATGCGGCCTGTCTCTTAGGATGAGGTGTTGGTAGCAGGTACAGGGGCGGGGTGGGGCCTGGGGGGACAGGGTTGGTGGTTCTCCGGAGAACCGGGGAGCAACTCGTGTTCATTCCTGGAATCTTCCAGAGCCTTGGTTTGCACATGGTAGATGCCCAATAAAGAGTTTCTTAACCGGAATGGACTGCTGTTTTCCGGGGTTACAAAACCTACCGGGAGGTGGTGAGGTGGCGGTAAAACCGGGGCATCTCAGGAAGACCCTAGGGGCTTATGCAAAGTTATTTAATTTGTGGGGGAACACTGGATCCCTTGCCCCAATAGGACTGCTAACTTGTGTTCCTACCTGCTTCCGGGGAAACAGGAGGAAGAGACAAGGAAAACTTGTGGATAAAGAGAAGTCTAGCCTTGGACAGTCAGTAACCTCTCCTCCAAAATGAGACAGCATTAAACGCTGTGCAAGGGCCCTTTCAGCTTGCCTCCTCTCTGAAATCGATTGGTGGACTCCGCTTTGCCCATTATAGGCATCAGTCACAGCACAGAGTTCTTGAAACTCTCCTTTTCCGCAAAACTCTGCTTCAGGTCTACACTCAGGCTCCTCCAGGTTTTGTTCGTGCATCGTCCTGTTCAGTAAAGTCAAGGGAAAGTTGAAGAAAAGTGAGGTAGGCTGTTTCTTGGGGATTTGTGACTGGCAACTACTAACTGTTACTTCTCTTAGCAGCAGATACTGGGGGGGGGGGCGGGGCGGTGCTCAGTGTTTCAATTTATCTCAGATACTAGACAGCTGAATCTGTTTGGCTATATGTAAGATCATCTGCTGAAGTGGAGAAGTGATGTGGGAGGTCAGAGCCTCTTGTTTCTCTGCCACACTTGTTTTAATCTTAATACAATTATCTATTCACTTGTGATGTGTGTAAAATGGTTTTCATCCAATAGAGTTATACTTTCAGATTAAATTAAGGATAGTGACAACAATTTATTTGCTATATATGCAAAGCCCTTGCTATTGTGCTTTTGCAATGAGGACTTAATATTGTCTAGTATGTTAGGGTGACCCACTTTAAAACTCCACCCTTTGAGCTGGAGGTGTAGCTAAGAGGTAGAGCTCTTGCCAAACATGTATAAGGCCCTGGGTTTGACCCCCAGACCAGCAAAAATCAATCATGAAATCAATCTCTGCCATTTATTAAATAGGGTCTTTTGTGAACCACCTATCTCCAAAGTAGATGGCCCCAAATTATATAGTATAGTAGGCTGAATAATGGCCACCCCAAAACATCAGGTCTTAATCCCTGGAAATCATAAAGGTAGTATGGGGAAAAGGTCTGCACAGGTGATTAAGTTAAGAATGATGAAATGGGAAGACTATCATGAATTATCTAGGTGGGCCCAAAATGCAAAAAAAAAAAAAAAAAAAAAAAGTCATAAAAGAGAGGCAGCAAGAGATTTGTTACAGAGGAAGAGAAGGCAATATGACCACAGAAGCACAGATTAGAGTGCGGTGTCCACAGGTCAAGGAATGCTGGGGGCCAGAGAGAGAAGAACAGATTCTCTCCCAGAGCCTCTGGAGAGCACAGCTCCTGCTCATACCTTGTTTTCAGGTATGTGAGACTGATTTTGGACTTGTGGCCTCCAGAACCGTGAGAGAATAAAATTGCTATTGTTTGCAGCCTCCAAGTTTGTAGAAATTTGTTACAGCAACTAAAGGAAAGTAATATGTATGACAGTGCTCATAAATCACATAGAATCGTGTATGGACAGATTTAAAAACTACAACTGGAGCAGTAGTGGAGACCACTGTATATTTTCCTGGAATCCTGTTAAGTTCTAAGGAAAGGATTTAAATAGGGAATTTGGAAAAGAAGAGAAAAGAAATTAAGTGATGCACAGGAAAGAGGTAGTCTAGTATTTAAACTAGTTTTTTAGATTTTCTTCTGTTTTCTTATTAATAATCACAGTTTTTGCTCTGGCTAAAGAGAGTAAAGGGAAAAATGTTTGACTTGGGCTTGGTCCTTAGCCAAGTAATTGCATATCCATCAGATGTATATCAAATAAGAGTTGGAGACAGTTGGGGATTGAGGGCCACCATTGGGGACAAACAGGAATGCAGAAGTGCTTCCAGGTGAGGAGTGTTAAAATCTGGTTGAAAGCAACTTCTCGTCATCTGAGATGAAGACACTTTGGGGTTCTCAGATGAAAGCAATGCTAAGGTTTAATTGATTGATTTCTGGGATCCAGGCAGGTAATTTTTCCTTCCTACTCTCCCTCAATCTGGTTTATTTTTACACTATAGACATAATTTGCATACCATATGAGTCATCTCTTTTAAGTGTATAATCCATTGCTTTTTAATAAATACTGAATCGTATAGTCAGCAGCATAATTCGATTTTTGGTATTTTTGTGGTGCTGGAGATTGAACCTAGGATTTCACACATGCTAGGCAAGTGCTCTACCATTGCAGCCCCCCTTTCTTTATAAAAAAAATTAATTTTGAGAAAGAGTCTTGAAAGTGGCCAAAACTGGTGTTGAACTTGAGAGCCTGCCTCAAGCTCCCAGGTCTCTGGGTTTGTAGGTGTATACTACCACATGCAGTAACAATTGAGTTTTAAAACATTGTCACTCAAGAAAGATCCCTTGTACCATTTGCAGTCAATCCCCATTCCCAGTCCCAGCACCAGTCCTCTTTGCATCTCTGGCCTGCTTTAGAGTTAGGTTTTAGTCGCAACACTGCACTTCTCCAATTGCCACATACCTGGCCTCAACTCCTACTCAGTGTATTCTCAACCGAGCTGCTGAGGATCACATACCAATAGTTTAAATCCATCAATAACTTTCTCTTGTAATTTTTTCATATCTCTGGTTGTATACAAAGTATATTCACACCATTCGTCTTTAGTATGGCCTTTTTAAGGCTCAAGTGAGCTCTGTGCCCTGCCAATCTCACCATCTTTAGGAAAGGAATGGAGAAGCACAGCATTCCTTTGCAGGAGGCATGCAGGTGGTGTCTAATAATCAGGCTTCTCTTTTCTTGACTACCCTGCAACCTCACTAGTCTTCCTCCTCCTCAGTAACACTGAGCTCTTCTCAGCATAGGACAGTTGTATATGGTATTTCTTTTTAAGAAACTATCCCAGACTCTCTTTTGCCACACAACTCAAATTTTACCTTCATAGAAAGTCCTTCCCTGACCTACCTGAACTGAAATTGTCTTAAGTGCCTCATCTGTGTTTTCTTCATTTCACCTAATCACTCTCCAAAAGTATATTTTGATTTTTTTCTTTAGTGTCTCTCCCCATTAGAATATAAATTCACAAGTGTAGAAACTTGATTGGCCATGATCTTGGTCAGGTCTGTCTGAAGTACTTATAGAAAAACTATTTATCGTAGCAACACATGGTAAACCTATCAAAATGTGAGCAACGGTAATTAATAGTTACTGAATGCTTGCTTAATGCCAGGCACTGTGCTAATTACTACATATTCATGAATTATTTAACTGAAGCTTACCACTTCAATTTACAACACGTAGAGTAAGAGGAACATGTCCTCCAAATTTAGTTCCCTACATTAAATTATTTTTTTTCCATAGACATTGGCATTAGTATGTTGATTTTTCAAGATTGGATCAATGTATGTGATGGGATCTCTTTCCCCACATCTCTGTAAGCTAAAGTAGAGAAGTTTTTGCTGCTAAGGAAAGGAAGAACAAAGGAACAGTATAAGTAAAAGTAGAATCCTAAAGAGAGCAGGACACAGCAAGTGAGAGTTACATTGGAACAATGTCTTGGGGTCCTGGTGAGAGGAAGCTGGGGGATTGCTTAGGCCAGACCAGAAAGGATTTTGAGTACTAGTATTAATTCCCACTTTAATATTTTTTAAATGTTATTTTAAATGTTCAAGTTGGAGATGATTTTTAGAGCTCTTTTAGTCTAACACTCTGCCCAAGAAAGGACACCCAATTACAGTTGCCATCCCAGGAAGTGCTCATCATCCACAGCTTGAACACCTCCCAAGCAAGCCCATCACATATATATTCAGGGCACTCTGATTTTGAGAAAGTCCATCTCCACATTAAACTAAATCTGTCTTTCTTCACTTCAGTTTAGTATTCCACATTGAGCATGTAGAATATACTCACTCATTTTTAAAATGTGGCAAGTGCTTGCTTACATTCCACTGAAAAATTTTTAAATTGTTGTTTATTATTGTAGTATACCTGCTTGAAATCTGGCAACCTATTTCTGACTTAGCCAGACAGAGGATTTTTACCCAGTAACTTTTCTAGTGAAGTACAAGATCTGTTGCTTAGTCAAAAAGAGAGTGAAAAGTAGTTTAAATTAAAGATATTCAGCTAGTTTATTTAAGTCAGTTTGGACTGTACTTAGAGAAAGGTCAGGTCTGGGAATATTAATATGGGGATCGTATATGCCTATTGGTTAACTTGCTGTCTTGTCTTGATAATTCCAATAAGACTATGCCAACAAAATTAGCATTGGACCAACAGGAAGTCATGGAATATCCAAGTTGGAGATGATTTTAGAGATCTTCTAGTCTAACATTCTGCCAAAGAAAGGACACCCAGTGACAATTGTGATCTCCACAAGTGTTTGTCATCCTCAGCTTGAACACCTCCCAAGCAAGCCCACTCCATGTATATTCATGTCATTGAATATGTTTTGTTGTGCAAATACAGTCTAGATAAGTGCTATGCATTATTAATTAAAATGTACTTTCATATAAAATGAAAAGTAAGTTTTTGTTGCTTTTGTCATATACAAGTATTTTAGGTCTTATCAAAACCTAAAGTGATGAAAATGAACTTCTTAACTGAACTTTTTGAAAATATAAATTTAAGTTAATGAAATATATATATTAATAAGTAGATTTGTTTGTTTTCAGATGTTAATAGAATAATTGAAAATAAGAATATCCAAAAGTTAATGTATATTCTATTTTATTTCCAGTTATATTTAAGACTTATGAACATATACAACTATGTATTATTTTATTATATCTGTACCTAATTTATTTTAGAAAACCTGAGGCCATCAACCTGATTAATATCTAGGCTTGAATACCTAAAATATAAAAGCTATAAGAACTTTACCTTTGTGGTTTTCAGCTTTCTCTGTGGTTGTCTGGGGCAGAAAGGAAGGTTTATAGTTGGAGCTCAGATGAGTTAAAGAAAGACTTCCACTGCTTAGATATGATTTGAAAAACACAACTATAATCTCCATTTAGTAAAGGTGAAAGTTGAGACTTAAGAGATATGGGGGGCTGGGGATGTGGCTCAAGCAGTAGTGCGCTCGCCTGGCATGTGTGCAGCCCGGGTTCGATCCTCAGCACCACATACAAACAAAGATGTTGTGTCCGTCAAAAAACTAAAGAATAAATATTAAAATTCTGTCTGTCTGTCTCTCTCTCTCTCTCTCTCTCTCTCTCTCTCTCAAAAAAAAAGAGATATGGGAAGGTTTGCCTGTGCTCTCATAGCTACCTAATGTCAGAACAAAGTTTCCTCATTCTGAGTTCTGTGCTGCTTCCCTCTTACCTCCCTACTAAATGTTATTATGTGTACTTATAAAGGATGACCTTAGCTAGCTTAATTCTATATCACGTTATAACAGTCTCTGTGCTTAGGCAGTACAGATTAAATCCACTTG